CAATCTCAGTATTATCCAGACCCAGTGGGAATAATATTTATATCAAAAAAGAAAAAAAGGCAAATATTTCTCTAACTCCTTTTCTGAGTGATGGATAAATCCTGGCTGTGTAAAATTATAGCCACGAGTAGTAAGTGACACTTGAGGCAAAGCTCTATTACAAAGGAGAACACGGGCCATCCTCAAATATATCTGGTTTACTGGAGAATTTGCTGAGAGAGAACTCTGGCACCGAGCACAATGCCTGCTGTTGTGCTTTCCAGATAGCAAAGGAAATGTACCCATCTCTATTGTGAGCCTGTAGCTGCTCTGTTCTCATTTGATCCTTAATTACCTTGTTTCATTATATGTTTGACTAGTAAGAAACCTCGAGTATGCACTTAGAAGTTTGATTTTGCATCCATTACACAGCAGACATGAGTGGAACATTTCCATATTTTTTGGCAATGAGCAGCATTTGTGGTTATGTCCCTTTGCATTTGGTGAGACACTGCTATCTCTGATACTTCCTGTGAATGACACTACCAGCAGCCAAATATGAGACTTCTCATCTCTGCATTCTTATAGGTTTACAGTTTTAACATAGGCTCATGTTGGCTTGATCTCTACCAGTTTTTGTATGTGAAGAGGTAAGGAGCACTAGGGTATTTCCTAGACGGTCTGACTTGGTGATAGACAATCCAAGGTTTACTTAAGAGGAGACTGGAGGGAAAAAAAGGTGTAGTTCAGCTTTACTTCCCAGCCTACAGACCATATATTTTTTCTTAGCCTAATATTCTGTAAAGTATTCAAAGTGATAACAGTGAGTAAGCAATGCCTGCTTATTATCTGAAGGCCAAGGTTTTCATTCATAGATTATGCCCTAAATATACTACTCCATTCACCTGAAGTTGTGGCCCAAAGGAAGTAGCATGTTTTGAAAATGTCAGAAAATTTTGCTTACTCTGAATTGAAGGTGTATCTAAACTAGTTTTAGATTGAAATCAGGAGTACAGTTTTATGGGGGACCAGAGGATAACCATCTACATTGGTGATGTGAGAAGGTAGTTAGGACTTTGCTCTGAGTAATACTATGCTAGACAACTACATACACTTCAGTTGTCCTAACAGTGAAATTCCATAAATAAAACACAGCAGTGAGTGAAAACTCATTCCAATCAAGAGTAATGCATTTGGCACACACTGGAATGCCAAACTGCCAGAATATCAATTGACTGTATATGTGTGGGTCTGTTTCTGGATCCTCTCCATTCTATTCAATTAAGCCACTGTGTTGTTGACAATATCAAACTACTGTAGCTTTATGGTAAGATTTTAATTCAGGTTATGATGTTCATCTTAAAATGACAGAATATTTTTGAATTAGCTTGTCTACGTCTACAAAGATCTTTGGTATAATTTGGAAATACATTAAATGTCCAGATGAATTTAGAAAATTGCTACCTTAATGATATTGAATCTTGCACTTCATGAATATGGGATAGCTTTCCATTAACTTAGATATTTTCTCAGTAAAGTTTTGAGTAAACAGACTATGTTATCTTAGATTTATTTTTAGGCATTGTTTTCCTAATTGTATTAGTCTTTTGTCCTGCAACCTTGTTAGATATCCAAATTCAAAGCTTTTCTTTACTAAAACTATCCATTTGCAGATTTTTTTTACTTTTCTGATATCTGCAGTTGTTTTCTTTTATGTCTGATTTCAAAGAATAGGATATCCAGAACAGTTTTGTATAGAAGTAGTAAAAGCAGAAATCTTTGCCTTGATCTCAAGGGGAAAATAACTTAATTTGCTAACATATTTACTAGTAAAGGACTAAGATTTTGTATATGCCCCTTGTCAGGCAGAAGTAGTTATTTCTATGTGGTGCCAAGGATCATGCCTCGCACGTGCTAGGCTAGTGCTCTACCGCTGAGCCACAATCCAGGAAGTTATTTAATCTTTGCTTTTTTACCATTCTCTTCAATAATTTTTCCCCTATATTGTAGTAATTAACATTGATTGCTTTTCAAATGGTAAACCAACCTTTTGTTATGAAAATGAATCCTAATTGGTCACCAATGGTATTTTTATGTATTGATTTGCTAACATTATAGTATTGGTCTTCATAGATTTGTTTTAAAAAATTGTAGTTGGACAGAATGTCTTTATGTGGTGCTAAGGATCGAACCCATTGTCTCTCATATGCTAGGCAAATGCACTAAAACTGAGCTCCAGCCCCTATGTTAGAGTTCTGCAGAGACCCCTCTATATTTTTTCATATATGTAGTTGTAGATGGACACAATGTCTTTATTCTGGGAAGAAAGACATGGTTTCTATTGGAGTTTTAATCACTAGTACTGGTACTACTGCCTTATATTACTCTGTACCTAGAACCTACCTTCAGGGGAAAGCTGCTATAGAAGGGAGGAGGGGCTGCAGAGGGACAGAAAACTCAATCCCATGTAGTTGCCTTTGAAAGTTCCTACTGCATTCCAGACTCTTCAAACTAATGCAGGTAGAGTTTTAAGGAGTTATTTTTCGTAGTTCAACTGGCGGTTTTAGGTTTGATCAGCAGAAGTACAGACTGAGTTTACATTGCCAAGTCAGAATAGAAGCTGTGGAATGTAAATTTTGAAGACATTGTGAACTTAAGAAATATGTGATATTGCTCGTCCTCTTCAAAACAAATTTATATAATACTAATTGAGCTAGATCCCCTGAGTCAAATACATCCAGAACTTCTGAACAATTCTCTAACCATTCACTTTGATTTATTAATGATAGATTAAATGTATAATAATTCTGTTATACATACGGAATAGAGTTTCTCTGAGGTTGGAGGGTAAAGAGAGGAGTCCATAAATCTAACTTAAAGAAATAATGTACATCCTAATTTGAAATTGGTCTCCAAACATTACCTTTATGGATCCCTCTTTCTGCACAATGATGAATACGTATTTCCTCTTTATATGAAAAATCTCCACCTAAGATAAATTAACTCAGTCTCAACAGAGATAAGGCCTTATGATTTTTATTGACAGAGAATAATGTAGAAACTTAGTGAAAGTTTTACAAAATGAAATCCTTAACATGCAACTATTATTGATTCCGTCTTTGGAAGCATGTTTTTTGCATATGTACCTTTTGTAGTCCTGAGTTTTTAGGTGCTGGCCACATTTCCTTTGTAAGTAAAACATTCTTAAAGACTTTCTGTGAAGTGATTTATGCATACTGTTTCAGGACCTCTTATTATAACAGTAGCAGCAATACATAGGAGATATTTGAGCCACGTGTTATATGCTGGTACTTTACAAACATTGTTGCACTCAACCCTGCTAGATTATATTTTTTAGATGAGTAAAATGAAGCTAGGACCACCGTACTCTCCTATGGCTTCTCTCTGCCTCACGTGCTGCTCCTTTATTTAACCCTTCTCCAAGACATGCCATGCCTTAGGGCCTAGTCCTTGAATGATACCTGTTCTCCCTCTACATTCTAGGTGAAAACATTTTCCAGTTCCGTCAATTCAAACACCACCAAAAAGCCACAACTATTGACCTCAAAATTCAACATCCAACTCCACTGGGATATGAGATATCTCAATGTGTCCAAAACCAGATCCATCTCTATACTGTTTTCTTAACTGCATATAATAAAATACATACTAAAACCAAAAAGGGAGAAAATTTCTCATGTTAAAGTAATAAATCCAAGATCAAAAGTAAGTAGTTCCGGACATGTCTGACAACTCACTAACATTGGAACAGCAGCAAGAAATTAGGGGTCTAGATTAAAGTTTCTTCTTTGTTGAAATTCAGGTTCAAAGAAGGGAGAATTGTGATGCTACTTCTTGGAATTCAAGACAACCCATGTTTAACATTGTGGACACACCTAGCTGTGGGGAAGGCTGGGAAGCATAGCATTTTAAAACTGCAGGGCAAAATATTCAGCTAAAATGGAACTTCTGTATTAAAGTGAAAGCCTACTGACTCAAAGTCCATTTCTGCCTCTACCACACTCCTTGAATCTGATCCCACTGATTCCTTACTAGCCTATCTAAACCTCTATCCCCTTAACACTCAGCACTATGATACATTTCATTTCTTTGTATGTGTGAATATATTCTCTCCCATATATATTTACATAGCTTTGATTATTGACTATCCTCCTTACTAGAATGAGACACAGCACTTTGGTTCACTGCCATCTTCCCTCTGAAGAAAGAGAATAAATGAACAGGAGCCAGCTATGCAAATGGGTAGAGGAAATTTCAGGCAAAGGAAGAGCTAAGTGAGAAGGACCCATAGGAAGTGGAAACAAGTATTCTGAGTTTAGGGAAGTTGTCCTGGATTTGGAGATCAAAGATGATAGTAGGGCTGGAATGTATAGTAAATGAAAAAAGTTGAATAGGAGAGCACCAAGAACAGCTCATCAAGAAGGGTTTGCCTGTCCCAGACACAATAGTGTTACCAGCCTCTCTGGCACCTCGGTCATGTCCAGCCTTTGGAAACTCCAGAGATGGTATATTGAGGGGTACACAGTAGCTATTACCCACATGCTGCCATTTAAATTTAATACATGAAAAGTATATAAAATGAAGAATTCAGTTTCTCAGTCACGTGAGCCACATTGCAAGTGTTTAGTGGCCACACATGGCTATTGTCTCCATCACAGCAAGTTCTATTGGACAGTGAAGCCAGTCCAAGGAGACATAATGGTAGATTTACTTAGCCTTTCTGATTTTTCTCTTAACCTTAGAATCATGCTTTTCTATTTAAATGGAAATATATGTGATGCATAGAAAGCTAGCATGTGGCCTGTTCCATATGCAAATATTCTTACGGATGATATTTTACCTACGACAGAAAACTTGGGAAGGACTGGTAAATCACAAGCTTTCTTAACCTCATTATAAATACATTGCAAATGTAAAAATGCAAAGTGTGGAAGTCATAAATGTGAAAGCGTCTTTCAATTTGTTTTAATAGGTGTTTTCTGTGTCGTCTTATAACCTAGGGACCTTGCTGCAAGAAACTGCCTCGTAGGTGAAAATAATATTCTAAAAATCAGCGACTTTGGAATGTCTCGTCAAGAGGATGGTGGGGTATATTCATCTTCTGGCTTAAAGCAGATTCCCATTAAATGGACAGCACCAGAAGCTCTTAATTATGGTAAGAATAGACTTTTTACTTTTTGGTGGTAAAAATGGACTGTATCAGCACAAAACATGTACAGGTAATTATACAGGGGTATATAGCAAAATCCAAGTTGAGAACCAGCCCAATGTATAACTGTTCAGACCTTGCACTTCAACACGAGCACAAACTTAATTGAAATTATTGATCAGATTTCTAGATTAAAGATTGGTAGATCAAAAAGAATTATAAGCACTTATGTCTCAAACAATTGAAACAGATTATACATAGAATAAAAGTGTTGTGGTAGCTCTGGGCCATTTATTTGAATGTCTTATAATTGGTCCAATAACTTCATGTACTGTTAAAATATTAAGTTGGTCAATCCTTGAGTTTCTCTGGAACTTACATGAATCCTGAGGAAAAAGATTGGAATAAAAATAGTGATTTTTTTTTTTTACTTGAATTTTTATGTGTCATTGTAAGTAGAAAGTTTGTATTGTATTCTCTGGTTAGAATGAAATGGGGTAACAACTCATGAATTTAGCAAAAGTGTGCTTTAAGTGAAATTACAAGTTACATTTAGGGAAGTAAGGTCTAAAACAATGGGTATAATGTCTTGAATAAGTAGTAACTTTCCATTTTCAATCAGCAAATCATGATAAATTATGAAAATAATTTTTAATGCCTAGATTAGGCGGATAAAGGTTTTTAATAGGTGACATTCATGAAATTAAAGTGAAAAATTTAGTAGTATTTAATATAATTCAGTGTTGGGAAACCATTTCCTTTGTTTTGAAACTAGACATTTTCTTCATTTCAAGATCAAGTACCCATTTCCTCCCTCTCCTATTACCTTTCTAGATATTTGAAACGAATAGAATCAATGTGACCATTTGTATCCTCTTTTCATTTAGTATAATCCTTTTAAGGTGCATTTGTGTATATTGGAGCAGTTTTCTCCTTATGGCTATTGTAAATAGGTCTGTACATATCCAGTTATTCTGAGTATGTACTAGTGTGATCTGGAAAACGTATGGTGATTCCTCGAGCAGTGAAAACTTTTGAATATATACTGGGTGGGCTTAATCCAGATACCAGTCCTCACCCTTGGTTTGACTTTCATTGTGACAGCAAATAAGATTTCTATGACCTTTAGTAATTGCAAGCCAATCCACTACTCCTCAGCACCCAGGGAAATGGCAGCCCTGCTAGTTCCTAGAGTGGTTTTTGTCTTGCATGGTGGGGTTATATCACTAAAGTGAAGAATCACAGGGTAAAAGGTTGTAATATTTTGCCCCCTAAAGATTTCACTAAAACCAAGCCCTGGTTGCCAGATAATCTATATTACAGTCTTTTAAAAGTCCTCTAACTAGTACATGATTATGCCTCTTGATCACTGTATTTTAGGTGAATTGTAACTTAAGGAGGAGTACAAAGTTCTTGGATTGGCACTGAAGGACTTTTTTTTTTTTTTGGCAGTCTTCTATATTTAGATGAGGAAGGAGTTTGTAGGATGCATTATCCAATCCCATGGGGAAATTCCTGAGTCTTCAAGCCTCAGGCAATCCTGGGAAATTGTGTTCTCAGATGTAGAATTACTGAAGATTGGCTCTAAAAAAAAAAATCTTCTGAAAGTAAGGATTTAAAGTGCTTGGTACATTTTTCTGTTTGGTAAGAGTAAGGCTTCCCTACACTCTGGCCTCAGTAATGAAACACTGCCCATATCTCCAATGAAGTGTGGAGTTAGAGTACATGAAACAAAAAGGAAAACCCTCTGATCCAAGAAACCTTCAAACTGTAGGCTTAAGGTGTAGAATTAAACTGATTTTTACAATTTTGTTATCTACAGTGTAAGCCCTTCTCTCTAGCTACATAATTTCTCTTTTTCGAGGCAAATGTACCTATCATATTTTCATCTTGTTCTCAAAGATTTCTTTAGCATTGATTTGTGAATATCTTACCCAGCATTTTTTAAGTCGGAGGTGGACACAATACCTTTATTTTATGTATGTGGTGCTGAGGTTCTAACCCAGGGCCTCACACACTCAAAAAGAATGCTTTACCGCTGAGGCACTGCTCCCCACCCCAAGCAATTTTTTAAAATGCAGAAATTGTAACATGCTTGGACTGTTGAGCATTTATCTCTACCATCCACAGTCACAAGATACTGTAGGCAAAGAGGATACGGATCTCCAATGAAGAAATAAAATCTTGCATCAATTATTGAAGTCTCCCACTTGTCACCTGGTTATTTGGGGCTGATGTATCCCCTTCTAATTTGACTTTTGGAGTTAAATCACATTAATCAGAGTTTTGAATGGAGAGTCCTGGATCTGTTACATCATTGACTGCATGATCTTGGCAAGCCTTCTACTACTCTGCATCTGTTTCCTACTTTGTAAGATGAAAATAATACCCTTTCTCTACAAGCATATTGTGAGAATTAAGAGATAGAAAAAGATACAACTAACTTGCTCTTATCCTTAAAATTATCCAGCAATACCAGGTTGAACGTTTCCACTTCTGGAGTATGATCTTAGTTTACCTATAATATGCCTTTCTTGATACCCATACATATATTATTTTACAAAATAAGATACTTTCATGAAAAATAATAAACTATTGGATCATCATAATAGTTGATTTGCAGATAAGAAAACTAACTATGCTGTAGGGTAGCAAGATTTATGTCCATAATTACCATCTACCAAGAGGAAAGCTAAAATAACATAGCCCGAACCTTTACTCAGTCCACTCAAGACAGATCAGTTAACACAGTGCAGGCAGACTCTCCTTTACTTCAAGAATATTTTTTTATAGTAACGGTTTTAGAGGAGGGACAGAAACTGAAATCATTTAAGAAACTTCCACATGTAATCTTGATGGTATGTGCCCTATACATAAAATTAAATATCTTGGGACAGTCTTGGAAAGGACCCTTCTTTGATTTCACATCCATCTTGTGTTGATTTATCTGTATTTCCTGAAAGCTACCACATATGTTCTAAGAGCTTATCTTGGTGCACCTGTTTTACTGAGCTATTTTGACAAAACAAGGCACCATGTAATTTAAAGAAGTTGTTTTTATTAGTCAGCTATGTTAATTTCCACTCTTCAAAACAGAAAAATATATTTTCTGTAAATCAAACTATCAGCAGAGAAAATGAGACCTTTAAGTACGAAAGAATATCTGTAAACAGTGATGAGTAAAAAATTGAAATTAAGAAAGTTTTCTTGTTGCTTTGTTTGCAATTTTAGTAGAAAGAAAATGATGCAGAAGACAAAAATTGCAGGAATCCAACTTATTTAATCTCCTAGGCACTGATGTGTAAACATTTACATGTTTTTATGTAAACCACCTCACTCATGACACTCCAGGAAAGTAAGGCTGCATGCTGGCTGAATATTTGCTCTTGGTGGGGAGAAGAGGGGGCAAGTGATTATTTGATGACATAACTAGTCCTGAAGTATAAAACCAGTGAAAAGAATAGAAGCACTAGCTCCTGAGGTCCTTTGGTAAATTCAGTTATTATGTGACTGACATACATAACCAGAACCTGTCATCTCCTTGTCCCTCACCTGGTTATGGTTTGTTGTTCCCCTCCCAGGAAGATACAGTTCTGAGAGTGATGTATGGAGCTTTGGCATCCTGCTCTGGGAGACCTTCAGCTTAGGGATCTCTCCGTACCCTGGAATGACAAATCAACAAGCACGAGAGCAAGTGGAAAGAGGTGAGCCCGAGACCCAGATGGGGGCAGCAGTGCCAATGGTGTTTCTCCTGGCCAGAGTGCTGGCAAACAGGCTATTATGCTATTTAGGTGTGTAAACGGAGAAAATGTGGTACACAATTCTGCTTTTGAATCCCATGGCTTTTATATAACAAAACACTTTGAAGTATCTTGATACTTTAAAAGTAGAAAACTACAAGCTGTCTCTCCACCCTTCTCTGCTTGGCATAAAGTTGCAGTGCTGTACCATTCAATGTCTTCCGTGAAAACAGGTTACTATTCCCAACCTATTATTTTTTTATTCCATACCAAATAAATCTCCTTAAAAATATTACAAAGTACGATGCTGTCTGTCTTCAAGAACTGGAGAATTTTATAACACTTCTGAAGAAATCCTCGCGGGGGGGGGGGGGGGCGGTTCCAGATCAGAGCTATAGCATCACCAAAAACTAGTTATTCCTAGCAGGCACTACTGTCATCCACAGCTTCCTCAGAGAGTGTGTGTTGAGATGCAGTAATGTACCCTGGCCTGAGAACCTCCCTCTCCCACACTGGCAGAGTCACACATACGAGCAACACTTCCAGACAGCAGCTTATGACTCATTCATTTTTTCCTTCACTGTTTAAAAGCTCATCTCTACAACCTAGGTTTTCGAAGATGAATTAGAAACTCTGCCCATAGTATATCTTCCTGACCATGTTTTTTGAACTAAGTGTTAATGGCTGTGTGATACTGATTTCTCTATGGCCCATGAGGAGGGAGAATATACTCAGAAATGGATTTTTTGTTTCTATTATACCTACAACATAAGGTACTAAAATTTACAAAATGCATATACCCTGTGTGAGCATTCATTTCTTAAGTCCATTCTCATTTCTTTGTTCTCCTGGGTCTTTAGGATACCGGATGTCAGCCCCTCAGAACTGTCCAGAGGAAATTTCTAAAATTATGATGAAGTGTTGGGATTATAATCCTGAAAACCGTCCTACATTCAGTGAACTTCAGAAAGAGCTTACTATCATCAAAAGGAAAATCACATAGTCAGTGCCAAGCTCAGCCTTCAAGACTCTGTCCTCCAGCAGATTAATAGTGTTCTCGTTAATGATGAGTTTATACCATATTGCTGGCAACCATCCTGTAAGGTTATTATTATTTTTTTTAACTATGTGAAATGCAGATTTATCCAAGAAATAGTCCTACCAAGGCCTTTTTTGGCTAACCAAGCGATCCTACCATTTCAGACCACTGTAAATAGAAAAGCACAGGTTCTAAACATGTGAAAGATTTAAAAAAAAAAAAAAAAACTGTTTTTTTCACACCTAGGACCACTGATGTTTCTCCATCAGGCACAGTTTGTGGGCTACTATCCTATGCCACAGACCCTACTCAGTTGGTGCTATAAGTTTTCACATTCCAAACACAGCTGGCTTTCAACTCTGTCAAGGTGAGAGTCTGTCTGTAAATAGACACTTGTAGGAGGAATTATTTGGAATGCGCATGACTGTGGGGGGTTTTTTTGGGTTTCTTTTTTTTTTTTTCGTTTTGACAGAAATAAGCCCAATAAGAATCATCATGCTCCTGCACTGTCAATTCCCTCAGCCTGAATATGAACTGTCCTCAGAGCACCCCTTTAAAGGATGTTAGATTGCTGAGACAGCAAGAAGTATAACCAGCAAGGTAGTCTGGGGGGAAAGAGCAGCTAGAGTGGTGCTCAACTTAAATGAAAATATAAAGGTATGTTTTATAAACCCATGCATGTCCATTTTAATGTTGTCTGAATTCACCAAAAAGGCCCCAGGAGTCCTCTTAATGGCAAGAAATTTTCAAAGCTCTACAGGGTACAAGTGACAGTTAAGTATCTTCCTCATAGAAGGGTCATTCCCTCCAGTTGTACCAGTTTCCAGAGCTGTCAGAAGTCATGGTTCTAGTTCACAAATATTTGTGTATGTCTACACCCTACTGAAGTACAAGGCGGGTGTGAATTAAATAGAGGGTTCAGAAATCAAATGAGTACTAATGAGAAAAGAAAGCCCTGATCTTTCCACTTTTCTTCATTTACCCTTATCATGCTTCCTAGAAATCTTCAGTAGCTGACAGGTGTGCAAGTACAGTGCTCAAAATGTACCACCATAAAAACTAGGATTCTTTTGAGGTGAATCTTAGTGCATCCAGGCAACTTACCCAACCATCTATATGTAGGAGATGGTCATGTTTAGGGGTAAAGGTGGCCTAGAAGTCTTTTATAAGTGCTTGAGGCTGTGTCCAGATATATATATCACCTTAGGAATTATTGGGAAGAGCTTAAGAGATAGAACATTCCTTTCTCTCACTGTTTGCTGCCTGTGAATACCATTGTGCAGAACTCAAGAGAAGAATGACTTGTGTCCATTGCAAATATCCTTGCAAATTTTGTACCCTTTCAATGATTAGCACATTCAGACCAAAATGAAGGAATAATAAATTTGCCTTTAACATTACAAAACTTCTTTTTAATCAGCATAGTTCTCCCTAAGGTCAAATATTATAAGTACATGGAACTTTCTTTTGATAGCATTAAGTAGACAAGACATTTCAACCCCTTTCCATACTTCCAAGTGAATCTGTTTTTAATTTTTTTTTTTTTTTTAAATAGCCAGACTCTGTTCACTTAGGCCTCAACACTAAGCTCTCAGCAAGGAGAGAATAATGGCTCCGACTTTAATTTTGTGAACAAAACCCAAAGCTTAATCCTTGCATTCTGGTGTAAAGAATGAACATGGTATTGATATTTCACTCACTCAGGCTGTTAGAATTTGCAATTCACATCATAGCTGTTTAAATTAAAAAAGCTTTTCAAAACATCATGACATCTGCAGCATTTAAATTCTATTTTATTCCTTGTCCTGAAGCAGGTTGTGCTACAGTTCAAGATTAATAACTCATTGGGAGTCTTTCAGGATCATATCAGTTGTATAGAATATTAAATTTAATATAGGCTCATGCATTAAGAAAAGCTTATGCAAACATTTTTTACTGTTAATTTTGTTATGCTTCAAGCATAATTTATTCATCCCTTCTGTCACTGATAATTATTGGAATTATGTACTTTAGGAGGCTAATCCATACCCAGAAAGCACACAAATACTGTTCTGAATTTGCAAGTTGATTCAGGGAAAAGAGAGGGTTCAGAAATGCACCAAATCCTATGAATTGTTTAATTGTAACCAAAATTTCCAGTGGTCTGAATGCGACTCTGGTCATAAATCTTTGTTATATGCAACTCTTAGAGTACTGATATCAATGGATCATCTATTTCTCCCTTCTTAAGTCCTTAAATGCATTAATCCATGATGGGAGGTGTAGTAAGGACAGGCAATCTGACTGTTACCTGAACTATCGACCTGGAATCACCAAGGAGTCTTGTTGGGGATTTTTTTTTTTTTAAATCACCATTTATTATTAATCTGAATGCTAAAATTTTATATTCCATATAATCAAAGTTATCTCAAAGCCAACATTTTTTTTCTTCTGGGAAAATAAATATTATTGGGTTTTGTTTAAGTTCTCAGAAACAGATTTCAGCTTCTCCTGCCACAAAGTTCCTAGTGAAAAGACTCATTTATTTATCTTCTCTAATTTGTATTGGCGGGGTTATAGCTCAGTGGTAGAGTGAGTGGGTTGGATCCTCACCACCATATGAAGATATTGTGTCCATCCACCATTAAAAACATTCTTTAAAATTATATATATGCAGTATAGTGTTCCCCATCCATATTTCACCAATTTCAATATTAAAAGATTTCCTAGCTGATCAGCATACACAGGAGCCTACTTGTGTCAGGTGTTATTCAGGATTACTTAGAAGACAAAAATGTCGTTGAAATAGTTCTGTTTTCCTGACCTTTACTTCAGTTTCACCATATAGTTTTAAAACGTTTAACTAGTACCACTAAAGTAACTTGAATGCCATTTTTGTGAAGCCAGGGTCTGTAAAGTGTTCTAATTGTAACATAGTACACACTGAGTACCTTGTAAACAAAAACTAGAATGCAGGACACCTAACTGAACCACAGTGACATACAACACAGATATGAGTTACACCACTTGAGATGCTTTAAGACTGCATCTGAACAGATTTCATGTATACTATTTACCTGACATCACCAAGGAGCCTTGGTGGGGGATTTTTTTTTTAATCACCATTTTATTACTAATCTGAAATCTAAAATAATCTTATATTCCATGTAATCGAAGTGGCTGTGTGTCCTCTACAGTAGGATTGATATCTTAGAAGAGTTGCCTCAAACCTCTTTTTACACACACTCCCTTTGTCCCACCAGTGATATTAGATGTTTCTCATCATCAACAGAACTGATTGTCCTGTGTATTCTGAGTCATGGAAAGACCAGCATGTAAGAAGTCAGTCCTTTCACAAAAGAGAATACTGAAAAATAAGACCGTGTTTTCTTTATTAATCTCAAGGGGAATCAAAGATTTTGTATGAAAAGGAGATAATATTTCCATTATAGTACTAAGTTAGCATGAAAGTTTACTATTAAAGTGTTACCTCTTGTTACTGACTTGCTTATACATACCAGAAGTGTTTCATTAAAGATTTTTCCTCTGGTTTTGGTTAGTTTCACATCTTGTCTAAATACTATCATTATTTGGGAAAATCCAGTACTATGTTCATGTCTGCAAAGATTTAAAAAGTCAGGATTTCACATACCAAAATTACCTACTTGAAGGAGTTAGTGATACAGATTTAAAGTCCCATAAAATTCTCCTTTTAAAAAAAAATGCCCTAATATACAAGCTACAAATCTTTGCCATAGTTTAGTACTCCTCAAAAACCATCTTGCTTCCTCATACTGATTCAAAGATTAAACTCTGAATCAGTAAATATAGGCATTAAAAATCACTTAGCTACACTCAGATTCCTGGGTGGTAGAAAAAGCCTTCTGTACTAAATTCTCAGTCATTTTACTTCTGCATAGTTTACAGAGCAGGGGCTGCACTCAGGTGCTGAGGCAAGTGTATCCTAAGAGGATGAGGTTACCCTATGGAGAGTACAACAAATATATGGGCAAGGTCACTAGGGAGCCTGAGGAAAGCAAAGCCAGGAGGCCAGATCCTTTCCTACAGAAAATACATAGTATCTCTGCAGCCAAAAATAAAAAAAGCAAAAGAGGTCACCTGACAGGGTGTGGGCCTTTGCACAAGCAAACCAAATAACCTCCCTTATATTCAGAGTAAATTCATGTCCCCAGGTCTGATTATCCCATGCTGGGTGGCATTCTTGTTGTACTCCCACCTAATGGATTTGGTAACATGTGTTTAAACATATCATGGAGGGCTGGGGTTGTGGCTCAGTGGTAGAGTACTCGCCTAGCACCTGTGAGGCCCCGAGTTCGATCCTCAGCATCAAATAATACCTTTTTATTTGTATGTCCAACTACAACTAAAAAAATAAGTACTTAAAAAATATATATCAAGGAAATTATCCCAAGTCATCTTTACATTTATTAATTTTAGTCTTTCTTAAGCACACCGATTATTCACACTTAATAAAAACCTTTGTTTGCAATGGAGCTTAACCTGGGCTCAAGTCTCGTAAGTGGCAGCTCAATCACATCTACCCTGCTTCACCTCTTGATCCAGGTAAATTAAGTGGCTCCTAGAGTGACCCACAAAAGGACCTTGCTGTGCTGAGCTCTACTTTGGGTAAACAAAGAATTCAACAGGGAAACAAGAAAATTTAAGTGGCCATGTCCCTCATCTTTTACCCATAACATTTAAGTGAAAGGAATCTTGGAAGCATCCTAAAGCCAGTCAGAGCGCAGCATGGCTAAAGTAAGAGACACAGAAAGATACATCTAGAAAGGAAGGTTGAAAGGAGATGAAGGGCGGCGGCGGCGACTAAGGACCAATACAGGATGACTCCAAGGCCAATCTCCCAACAAATCACTACTGTCACCAAGGGAAGCCAGTCCCCAGATGGGGGTTGAGGGACTTCCTGCTGCAGGTTATTAAATACTGTGTGCCTCTCAGGTCTCTAACACTTTCTTAAAGAAAAACCCATACTCAGTTTGGTACCCTTTGTGTGTACACTATTTTGTGGCTCTGTGTCCTCTCAAGTAGGATCGATATCTGACAAGATCTGCCTCAGACCTTTTTTTTAAAAAAAAAAAAAAAAATTCCCTTTGTCACACCAGTGATATTTTAGATGTTTCTCATCAAGAGAACTTGTTGTCCACAGTAGTATTCTCAGTCATTGAAAGATCAGTATATAGGAAGTCAGAGTCCTTTCACAAAACAAAATACTGCAAAATAAAACAAAAGACCATGCAAATCTTGGGAAGTAGCTGCAGTTGAATCATAGCAACCCTTGGTTGTTTCCTAAGGCTGTAGACATGGCGGTTCAGCCCATTACCTAAGCAGTGGGCAGCTGAGAGTGTACACAGCTAGGATAGCAGCAATGCAAGAAAATTGCTGTGAAAGTTCCTGTTTTTATTAATGAAAAAGTATCCTATGGGTGTGCTTTGTGACAAGGCAGATTCAGCATCCCTCCTTGCCAGAGACCCTCTATGAACCCCAAATGAGAATATTTGGGATTCACTCAAAAGTGATTCAAAACTTTTTTGAGGGAAGAGTGTACTGGGGATTTAACCCAGGGGCAATTTATCACTGAGCCACATCCCAGGGTCTCACTAAGTTGCTGAGGCTGACCTCAAACTTGCAATCCTCCTGCCTCAGTCTCCCAAGTCACTGAGATTTCAAGTGTGTGCTACCACATTTTATTGAAATCTTGAATTTGTAAACATTATCGAGGCAATATGTAGGTGTTCTCAGAGTAATAAGTGTTAAATGATAGAAATGACCCTAGAGGCTGCATTTATTTCTCCTCAGCTTTGTTTAGGAACCTTTTCTTGAACATCTGCCTTGTCAGGTGCATTAAACACTAAAAGGAGCTCATTTTCCTGGTATTTATTATTGACTTACGGTTAGTATTTCCTTTTCTCATCTTCTGTTTCTCAGCCTTTTGCTTTACCAAAATAGAAAAGCCTTTATCCTCAACTTGCTTTGAATGTCATAATCTGTCTTGACCCAAAGAGTTTCTCAGGTATGCAGGACCCCTTGACTGATGGGGAACTCCCAGGTTTCTAGGTACCAAGCCTGGTCACCTGCTCGGTATGTGAGTGGCACCTTGCATTCCCAGCTTAGAATACAAAGATAACCTGGTTATAGCCCTTGCTGGGGAGACAGGATGGTTAGGGTAGCAGATGTGAGATGAAAGGCATTTTCAGTAGAGGCTCTTGGGAGATTTCCTTGGGACAATGATGATTTTGAGTGGGTGTGTCCAGGGATATAGACTTTAACTTGGGCAAGTAAGCTAATCAGATGACTGTCCTCCACCCCCAAGGAAATATTGAAAAATGAACAATACTTACTTCACCTTAAACCCCTACGTGTATTTGATTCTTTTTTTCTATTTTATGGCAGTTTTTTGGTTTATACTCCTTATAAAGCAAATGTCTAAAACTACTTTAGTTGCATAGTGTTAAATAATTTTTCATACCTTCAGAAAAAGGGAGATAATATGAAGAGTTAAGTTCAAAACAAACCTGTCTATCCATAAATACAGACCCCAAGGCACCACCGTATTAAAACATCAGCTCTGTTCTACAGTTCACCAAAGTAGTTCTTTTCCCAAAATGCCAAACCTCAGACCTTTTTCCTATATGCTGGAAACATCTTTCATATCAGAATAAGCACATTATAAATGCCACCCAAAGCAGATTCTAAAATGACATGTGAAGCTAGATTTACAACTGGAACCACCAAAGCAGATAACTGAAAACAAAAGGGTAGTGTTTCTGTTAAAATACTCATACAAAACTATGACCACTTAGTCAATTCACCCCATCACAGGACATCAGACCTTATTTTGAAAGCATAGGTCATGTGTCAGTGGAAAATGTCAGCACTGTTCTGAACAAGACAGGATAAATTTAAGATGGCCATAAGAAAGAAATCCCAATTCCCACTTCTGAGCAGCAAAAAATCTGAGCATGAAAAAAGAAATTGCATGCGAGTCCAAACTATTAATGTCTTCCTCATGTAGTTCTTGTCAAATAATAGAGCCTCATGTTCTTTGAGGTGCTTAAACAATCTTTATAAAGAAAAAAAAAAAAAAACCTAAATTTTCCTCAAGGGCAGCCCTGATCTCTGACCTGGATTCAGAACCTTGGGGGGCTGGGCTGGGGTTGGGACTCAGTGGTAGAACACTTGTGTAGAAAATGAGGCACTGGGTTCCATCCTCAGCGCCACATATAAAGTTATTGTGTCCATTTACAACTAAAAAATGTTAACAAAACAAAAACCTTGGCGACTGAAAGGGAATCTGTTTTTACTGGAATTCTGTGTAAGAAAACCATCCTGACAGCCGTCCGACTTATCGATTTATGCTTTTATTTTTAAACCCATAAAACAAGGTGGGAGCAGAATCAGACACCATTGTATGTAGGAATTTTTCTTACAAATAATTTAACTTAGTAGAAATAAGCTTACCTGACTACTCTTAAGAAACCCTAGATTGGTATACACAAATGTGGAGGGCCTGTGCCAAGAGCCAGGCTTGATAAGGCTCTGGATCTCTCTAACCCAAAGGACAGCAGATCTTATATTTGGGCTATAGGATGCTGTGGAGGCCCATTGCTGCTGGTTTTATTTCCCATGCTTTCACCACACATGTCCAATTCCTCCTCAGATTTTAGGCCTTTCCCACCTACCGTGTACAAAATACATACTCTTTCTACTGGAATTCAGTTTGGGGCTGTATGGGTCAAGGATATTGGTTCTGTGACTTTGTTACAGGTTATGTGTCTGTTTCTTGGTTTGGCTTCTTCTGGCATGTGCCCTAAAAGACTTGAACTGCTGTATTTGTAACCATATGACTGCAGAGGGTTAAGGAAAGCCAGATAAGTACAAGTGAATGAAATCAAGTGACCCAAGTCCCATGAATAGCCCCGACTTCTCCAGAAACACAAGCAAATTGGAAGCAAAGACAAAACATACAAATGGTGCCCATACCATTAAACTGTGGGAGGCCACCCTCCAGACAGGCACTGCCATTCCTGACATAAACCCACAGCCACTGGTTATGGCCATGTGGTTTTCTGAGTTGCTTTCTCTTTCCTTTACTGGAAGATGACATAAGGGCGGTGAAGGGGGAGTTGGGTCTGCCCTCTGCCACCTGTGGTGTAGATTTCCATCTGTAGGCAGCATTTTGAGCAAAGCACTCCTATGGTTTACAAGATTCCTTTAGTGCCAATATGTGATTATCTTGAGGTCAAGTTAAAGCACCTTTAGCCTTTTTTGTTAGTTTAAAATAATATGTTTTTGAAGTGGACAAAAGAAACACTGGAAATAGGGTGCTTCTTCTGGAAAGTTCAAGTGTAAAACAAGATCTCTGATGGGTTCATCTGGCTTTGTAAACAAGTCTAAAATGAATGGGAGCTAAATATATAAAGCAGTTTATCATTTTTAACTCAGATCTGTATTTAACACTTATTTATTTGTTAGTTTTTACATTCAAAAGAAATACACTTTGAATTTTGGCTAACATTGTAGGATGTTTTTAA